TGTAAGAAACTGACCAATTACAGTCAAATTCGAGGAGAATAATCGACTATGATTCGTCCATTTCTTATGGCTTAAGGCTTAAAACCCTATTGTAGATCCGGGGTTAAAATCGAATCCGAGGAGAATAATCGACTGTGATTCATCCATTTCTTATGGCTTAAGGCTTAAAACTCTATTGTAAATCCGGACTAACCGTTAACTTATGCCGGTGCCGGTAAAGTTCAACCATAGGATTTCAATGCTTTCGTTCATTGCTAACTTGCCGTCTTAGGGCCCTGACACACAAAAAACTTAAGGCAGTAAGACATAAGCAGTAATGCGTGGTCTACAATGGCAGTATCAGTAATGAATGAGGCTGTAAGAGTAAGAAATTGACCAATTACAGTCGATTATTCTTCTTACATTCAACTGTAATTGGTCAATTTGTTACTTTACAGTCTCATCCACTACTGCTACTGCCATTGTAGACCATGCATAAGGAAATCAACATGTTGGATTCGCTACTGCTTATGTTATGGCCTTATGGACTCTACTGTGATTGGTCAATTCGCTTACTGCTTACATTTTACTGCTTAAGTTTTTTTGTGTGCCATGGCCCTTAGTATGAACGAAAGCATTAAAATCCTATGGTTGAACCATATATGTAATACTACATATATGTAATATACATATATATATATACATATAGCGCTTGAATTTTATTGGCATATTCCGTTAGAACTAAAAATATAGACCAAACAGATACAAGAGCTCATTGAGCGATCGTGGTACTGAATGCACCCAATGCCAAAATGTCGTTCGTTAGAAACTATGAAGTTTACAGAGCTATAACTTACGGCGTCAGCGTCACTAGAGTGAGATAGATTTTTCTCTCTCGCACAATTTCGACGAATAATCGGCGGACTTCAGGTGTCCAGACTCTGATTAGAGGGTCTCTAATATGACATATGACGGAGGTTGCCATGTTCTTGCAAATGCTCGAAGTTCGCGCATTTCTTATTTGAGGATCTCTAATTTAGAAAAGACATATCGGCGGAGCGCAATTGACGGAATGCTTGCAATCGGACGGACATCGTTCCGCCAATTCCGCATTGCATATACGTTCCGCACCATGGGACTGCGCCATTACAGCCTCATCACTACTGCTGCTGTCATTGGAGATCACGCATAAAAGGATCAATATACATACATGATACAATGTAAATTAATTGGCTAAATATTAATTATACAATTTCATATTTTATTCTATTAATTTAATTAGGTAATAATATAATAATAATAATATACGTTTAATATTAATAGTAATAATAATATATATTTAATATTGTAATAATATACATTTAAATGAAATATTAAGTGCATAAATTCCAGATGAATTTTGCTTTGGAACGTGATCTATTTTAAGGAATAGCACAGCACTTCCATAATTTGCAACTCGCTAAGTTAATTCCACAACTCGCCGTATACGTCAACGTATGCAGCTGTTTATCGCGATAGGCGATAAGTGGGAATATCGATAATAATGACTACGTAAACAGTACATATTCCACTTCCCTTATGTTCTACTGGAGGCTCAAACGTCTCGACTGTTACATGAGGAAGATGGTACTATTCAGTGCTATTGCACGTGGTTGTCAGCTGATACGCGCCTGCGTCCACATTTCACAGCCTTTTCCATTCCTCTGGAACATTTTACGCCTATTACGTCAGTCGAAATCCAGCTGTCGACTGGATTGGAACGTTCTTTTGTTATCGGCGCTTCCGAACACCAAACTTGTACGTACTTTGCATACACTGATTTCATTAAAAAAAAAACTCATTAATTCAAAGTATTCGAATGATAATCTAAAGATCTAGTCTAATTGATCTGCTTGAATGAAAGGAGAAATTCGTACGCCCGAATTCGGCATTTTTTAGGACAAGACTGAATTTCGAGTAAAATTAAATAAAAAGCTAGGTACTTCTGTATATAGAGGAACGGATCAAACAAATTTGAACTTTTGATAATATATAGCCTTCATTCACCGATCGAATTTATAGAATAAAATCGAATGTGGGAAGCAAAATATCAGCAGGATATGCTAACAATTCGACTCTCGTAAAATGTCACGGTAAATTGGCGTCAACCATCACATTCACCTTCGTAATTCGTATTCTGCGAAATCTGATGGCAAATCGACAGCAGAAGTCGAGCAGAACCATTTTGTAATCATTTAAAAAATATAATATATTATTTGAATGAATCATTTAAATGATTACAAAACAGCAGATTCGTGCTCGGTGTCTACAGTCATTCCGCTATCATGTTCTGTTGGCTATCAGATTCTGTTATATTTCTAGTATACTGCCAACAAAGTTTGTAGCAGATGTTTTACAAAACCTTTCGATAAATTTGGAAAATGGAAAGATCATATTTATAATGATTGCAAAATTCCTAGACAACAAAAAGTGTCTAAAATCGTGTCAGAAGACATTTTTTGTATCTAAAAGACAATTTAAAGATGTTACAATTTTAAACTTTGTGTTATTTGGGTTGTTACGATTAATTTTTTTTTTAACAATTAAGTAAGTATATTTCTGCCTAGTAAGTTTCGTCAATAGCGAATTCGCTCGTGCAAACATGGCGAATGCTCGCATACTTGGTTTTTCAAGCCGTGTCCAAAAGTATAGTTAAATTATTGACTGAGGATTAGAATCACACCGTTATCGCTAGATCGCTTCTATTTCATCTTTTATTTTTACTTGGTTTAATTTTAGCCTGACTTGAATTTAACAAGAATTTCCGATTTATATTTGCGTAAGATATCGTAGAACATTGCAAGTTTCGTAACATCTAAATTTATGAGTTTCTGTAAAAAAAAAAGAGCAGATATTTCGGAGTATTTAATATTATTTGTTACATGATGTACATACTGTAAAGAAAATTACATTAATATATAAAAGAACAAGGCTCCGAAGAAATAAATCATAAATTCAAATAAAGCCGACTATAAACGTATCAAAAAGACAATAAGAATTAAATACAACAACAGATGTTTCGACACTTGATTTGAATCCTCTTTACTATAAAACTGACAAAATTAACAAAATTATTGAACGTTGCAATAAACACGGTAAAATATCGAAAATAAAAATAAAATTGATGCTTTACCAATAAGACAAAAAACATCGTGCATATAATGTCCAGAAATAAAAAAGTTAGTAACGAATGTCTTTAATAGTATTTGAAAAAAAAAAAAAATAATAATATATATATTTAATATTCTTTAATAGTATTTAATAGTATTTATAGAATACTTAAATCGTTAATCGAAAAGCGAAATATTAAATGATCACTAAAACTGTTATAGTCTAATATACAAAATAATTAAAAACTTATATTAGTAATAAAATAACACAGTGACATGACAGTAAAATGCAGAATATGAAAGGTGTACAATACAAACTGTTATGAGTTTGTGAGAGATTGATGAACAAATAATAGCGTGTTTATACGTACTAAATTAATTAATAAAACATAAAAGCATCACGATTTTGTAAAAAGCTTACAATATAACGGATTTAAAAAATCCGTATCATTTTGCTAATTTAAATCTTGCTTTTGTTTTTGGATATAGGTACATGTATCATTTTAGAGATCAGTTTCTTATAAAATGTTTTTTTTTCTTGTTCTAATAAGTATTATAACGTTGTTCCAATCGAATTCATGCAATAAATTAATTCTGCTTTCAATTGTTACGGAGTGTTGATTGATGTTCTATTAATATTATTCCGGTGTTCATTTATTCTGGTTTTTAATAATTGCACCCACATAAAACGTATTACAATCACCTGTCTTTTGTACCCTAATAAATGTACTCAGTTTATTAAGTCCTTTATCACACACACATACATACAGCTGAGTCACTCTTAAAATTTTGTTTTAAATCTTTCGAAATTGTATTAGTACATGTAGGATGATGAAAAAAGTAGATAAATCAGCTAGTGCAACTTGACCTGCACTATTAATAGAATTGATATTAGTCCAGTTGAGCTGTTTAAACTTTTAGAATACATACAAATTTATATGTTCAATTTATAGAAAATGTATGCATTTCTTTCTATCTTATGACTGTTATCTAAACTCTGATATGATAATTTTTTAATCTCTTTCTTTCTCTGTAAACTATTTGTCTATTTTCAACATCAAAATCAAGAACTGTCATTCCCATATGACTAAGTAATATATTTAACATTTTGTTTTATTAGCATACACATTAATTTTTATTAGATATAAGATAAATTAATTATACTTTTTGGATAAATCAATATATGTTTTAATTAATTTTTCTGTTTACAGTGTTAGTGTCAACATTAGTGCCATAGATATGTTCCTAATTATTGCTTAGTATACAGTGGGAAAGATGAGTAGAACAATGACTGACAAGAGTAAAAAATTATCACGCTGGTACTTTGGTGGTATTTCTTCCGCAGCTGCTGCATGCGTGACCCACCCTTTAGATTTACTAAAGGTCTTGTTTATATTTCGTTCTTAAATGAATAGATACTTTTTATTAGTAAAAGTAGTGAAAGATATTACAGTTTTTTTTTTGGTGTAATCAGAAATTATTTCAAATTACTGATAAATATCAGTTCTCTTTAAATGTAGATACAGAAATACGAATAAAGAAATATGTAAATTAGGGGACTAAACGATCAGATCTTTCTTCTAGGTTCACTTACAAACGCAACAAGAGGGCAAACTATCAGTAGTACATTCTACTATTGGAATAATTAGGAAACAAGGAATATTAGCTCTATATAATGGACTCAGTGCTTCCCTACTTCGCCAACTTACATATTCTACAATAAGATTTGGAGCTTACGAGGTCGGTACATGCAAACCTTATGTGCGTCATCCATATGTATATAAACCGTTTTCTTCTTAATTTATTATACACAGGTCATGTTGAATATAATAGGTCGGCAAACAAACATTTGAATCGTCTGGTCATCCGTTGCCTTTTTATCAAAAACTTATGTTGGCTGGAATTTCCGGTGCTACTGGCGGTGTCTTTGGAACTCCCGGCGATGTGATTAATGTACGCATGCAGAATGATATCAAAGTAGCACCAGAACTAAGAAGAAAGTAAGAATTGACGTCCTTATTTGATCATATTATACTTCGTTGGTCTTATTAATATATTCCTTTATCACACAGTTATAAGCATGCTTTAGATGGACTGTTGCGTGTAATTCAACAAGAAGGGGTTCGTCAATTGTTTAGTGGATGTTCAACTGCGACCATGAGAGCAGCACTAATGACTATCGGACAATTGAGCTTTTATGACCAGATTAAAACAACGTTGTTACAAACTGGCTATTTTCAAGATAATCCTTCAACACACGTTTTATCCAGTGTATCGGCAGTGAGTGTCTATAAATATTGAGACGTATCGTTCTAAATTTATGGTATATTCGAAAAGAGATAACGTTTTACATTCTTTTGTGCTGATAGGGCGCTATTGCAACAACGCTTACGCAACCTTTAGATGTTCTAAAAACACGAGCAATGAATGCTAAGCCTGGAGAATTTAAAGTAAGTAAATCCAAATCTAAATAATAATCTTAAATAAATTAAAAATATGCAATTCGCGACTATATTATATTTTCTGTACAGAACCTAATAGAAATCTTCCTATATACTGCCAAACTTGGGCCATTGGCTTTCTTTAAAGTAAGTATGATTGAAAAAGATCTTTATGTCGATATTAATAAATAATTTTGATAAAATCACACATGCAATATAAATTGTTTCTATTTTTAGGGCTATGTACCTGCATTTATTCGGTTAGCACCTCAAACTATTCTCACATTTGTATTCCTTGAACAACTCAGATATAATTTTGGATTCTATCCACAATCCGTAAAGCCATAAATTATAAAGATGAAATATTTTTGATAAGCAGAACTTTTGTAAGATAAACGGATTCGTTTCGTGGCAGATATTATACAAGAAACAAATTGATAGTGTTACTATAAATGATCATGCAATATATAATGCAAACACAGATCAATATGTGAAAACATTTGCAGTAAAAATTTAATTACTAAATCGCATGCAGTTTAATGATTAAACTTTAATTAAGAATTGATCATTATGTTTCTATCTAGAGATATTTTAATCAAGCCATGGTTGTAGTTTTCAATTGATACATTCCTTATATTAATTGTGATATGTCGACACAAATATAGTTATGTATATTTTAAAACATTTTATTTAAAATATGCATATATATTTATATATACATTTATAAAAAAAGCAAAATAAATTATTTATATTTATATTTAATTGTATCTTTTATATGTATACGAAGTGATCCTTTAAGTACAAAAAACGAAAGTTATACATTTTACGAAAATTAACTTTTATAAATTTATCTTTTTAAGACCTTCTATATACTTCAAGTTATTCCACTATTTTATATTATACAAATGTGTGAAATGTATAGTACAAAATTCACGAAAGAACTTTAGATAATATATAAAGAAAATAATTTTTTTTATTATATTAAGATATGCATGTTTATTTTAACAGCATTATAAATAATTTGCTATTGAAATGTATATTATTTTTATGATAAAAATATTGCAATTAATTTTTGAAATTTCTGCTTATATAACTATGTAAGTTATAAAAGTAAAAATAAAAGAATATATTCTGAATTTTTATAATATAAAAAATATTAACATTATTGATTATACTAATAGATTATAGTAGTGGATTCCAATAAGTTTAAATAAGATTAAATAAGTTCGATTAGACGTTTCCGTATATAGTCTAACAATAGATTAATGAACATAAACCAAGCGTTTCCAAATCCGATAAACCAAATAAGCGCACAGTTCACTAAAACTGAAAAATGTACTTGCAAAAATTTGCATGTTATTAAACACCAAGAATCGTTCTGACCGCGCGAAAAAAGAAATTATTTCTTTTAATTAAAAGCCTTTTTAACAGGTTTGATTGTCGAATATTTTCTTACAATCTTAAGTTAAAAAAAAGATTAAAATTAAGAAAGTCTATTAAGGATCCAATACTGGATATTGTATAAATTAATTTATTGCATGACATTAATTTATACATTTTGATCTGCAATTAACAATACTTAAAAATTATTTCATTTAATTAATAATTCAATAATCAATATAAAGAATAATTATACAGAAATTATGCATTTTGCATGTTATCTCCAAATCTATTCTTAAAATGCCAACGTTTCGTGAATATTACGATTCACTTAGTTTCTATATATTGTAATATTTATACATATATATATATATCCATGCTTTTGTCAGAAACATTTAATATTACAATTCAAACTATTTAAGTGGAAGTATAATTTGCTTGGATATGGTAAGATTCATATATATTTTTTCCATGTTGTTTTCTGAGAAAAACTGTTCTGCATAGCTTTCATAGCTCGTTCCACATAAAGCTAATTCTAGTTTATTTAGATCTTCATTTGACAACAAATTTATAACACCTGATGGCATTGCAGATGCCGAAAACATATTACAATATGGTGCCAAACTACAGGAATTTGCATTGCATATCACAATAGCAGAATTACCAATAGTTAAAATTTGTATTAGTCGACGAAATAAAACAGTTTCATCTTCAGCTTTCAAAATGATAACGCCCTTTGGATTACGAATTTTCGTTACTTCTAATCCTCCACTTTGTGAGCATGATAAAGAATTTTGATAGACATATGAGAATTTTATACATGTTGATATTATATCTACCAATATCGATTTACTAAAAAAAATATATATATGAGAAAACCAGTTGTTAAAAATTATCATTGAGAATAATGAAGTACAGAAATACACACACAAACTAAGCACTATAAAAATATGTAAAAACTTTCTAATAACTTAATACATACCCGTTGCATCTTAATATAGATGCAAATTTGGATAATACTTGCATTCTAAAAGTAATAGGTTTAGTACTCCAAATTTTGAATCCTTTATTAGCTGAATTAATACATCTGTTAATATCTTCACTACAATAATATGTCAATGAAAATTTTATATAAATTTTATTAAACATTATAAATTTAAAAAAATTATAACTAAGATCAAGAAAATATGCTTTACCTTGTTGCATTTGCCCACTGACTATTATTATGTACCCAATATGTGCTTTCTACAGGTTGTTGCCACATACCATCATAAAATAAATTGTAAACTATACTTTTCTGCACACTTGATTTTTTTATACAATCATCGAGATTAGACTTGCATTTATGCAATATTTTATTAAATATTTTCGTATAAGGCAAAAGCACAATACCACAGTGGAAGTCCATGTACGTATTTACAAACAAAACATCTCTCTAAATAATTAAAAAAAAATATTAGTAATAATTATAAAAATTGCTTAAAAAACTGCATTATATTAATAGAAATGCTATACATTTAAAGATGTTGCTAAGTTTTTAGCAAATATAATATCTTCCGTCCATATGGATACAATGTTCATTTTATCAGGTATGCCGGCTGTAAATAATTCATTCTTTGTTCGAAATGTATGAATGTCCTGAAGATCAAATTTCAAATTTGACATTCCAAGATATTCCTTCATAAGCCATACAAATTTTTCTTTTATTGGTTCTTGGATCCAAATTTTATTTAAAAACAGAAATTCTTTATTTCTTAAGTAATTAATAACTGCATACAAATCTGAATCCGCTAGAAGTATTATTTCATTATCATTGGTGTAACCTGTCAAAAATATTAAGAATCTTAAGTGTGTGTATGAGAGAAAAATTAATTTTTATTACATTACTAATATGTTTTCTTACTTATAACTTCCTTTCTTAAATGTTTATATCGAGTTTCCAGTATAGAATCTTTACTAAAATATAAAAACAATTTGTGAAATTGATGACAATATTAATTTAAATATAAGAAATATAAGTATAATAAATGGTTAATGTATTCAAGAAAGAATACATTAACCATTTGTTACTTATATTTCTTATATTTCATAATGGTTACAGTTTATAATGGTTTATAATGGTACAGGATAGTATTTTCCAAAAAGAAGTCCATGCCAAGTCCTTTATATATTTCCGAGATTGTAAGTATCACTAATAAGACTACATCATCTTCCTTGTATTCTTCTAAAAAAAAAGTTCAAAATGAAATATTAAAAAAATTAATGTTTCTATTATTGTAAGCTATTGTTGTCATAAAATAAAATTTGCAAATAACATAAATAACAATTTATCTTTTCTAATTATGAAGACAACATTACCATATTTATTGTCAAACATAAGCTGCATACCAATATTATTTAAGTATTCAATAATAGTAGTAATTATATCTACATGTTTACAAACTGATCGAAAAAGAGACAAATTTTTTTCCATTACAGATGCTACTTTAAGAAATCTGTAAATACATAATTCAAAATGATAAATGTGAGAAAAACTTGTATTATTTTTATCATATTTAGATAATTGTTGAGTCAAATTATCTCATGTCTGACTAAATTAGCCTCATTCGTTTTTATATAAAATAACTAAAAATTTTCTGAGAAGTTTCGCTTTGCCGAGGAGACTCAACAATTATTCATATTTAGGGCTTCAGGGCTACATTTTAAAACGTTCTTTCCAAGAAAGATTTTACTCTATATATTATAGTATATATTACATGTACTAAATATATTTCGAGTAAAATTTTTCTCGGAGAAGACGTTTTGAAGTGTATCCAGAAATGTGAGTTTGTTTACCTTTCTGAAAAATTATTAACATCTGTAAATTTTATTTCCTTGGCTAAGGCAAATATTTCTTCGTACTTCTTGTTTATTAGTACCTAAAAATAAATAGAATTATGTTTCACAAACAATGGACTAAGGTATTTGTTAATTAATATTAACTTTCATATAAGTTATTAATATTTTCATATATATATATATATTATATACATATATACATATTTATATTCACATCTTTGTCATATTCCAAGTTGGTATAATACTTGTCTATAACTTTCAGTCGTTTATCCATAATTGTTATAATCAATTCTAATATTCTTAAAATATTAAGGCCTCTTTCTCTAACAGTACTACTCAGATTAACGCTAATCAGTCAATTATCAATAGGCGAGTTCAAGTCGGCAAAGGTTAGGACAGGTTAGGACACCAGCCAATCAACATGCTTGGAATGGCTTGGAAAGCCTTGGGAGCATGGACGTATGAATACATGGGCTGCGTTCGGAAACGTCGCTCGGATATCTCTGATGCCTCGAATTCATCATCCGTCCTTGTTTAATATTAATGTTAAACAAGAGCGACGTTTCCGAACGCAGCCATGGAGCCGTCTGGTGCGGGGAGTGAAGATTTTAGGGGCGTAGGGGGCCGCCATATTGTCTGGCATTTTAGCGCTCTATTTGAAAATCGACATATGTATTATGATATTATTTATATTTTCAGTGCATGGAAGTAGGATTTTGTGTGAGACAAAATTAATTCAACGGTTGTGTGCAATTAAAAATAATTTTCTGTTTATATTAAAAGAAGTAATGAATATATATATTCATTCAGATATACATGCACATTCGTAGGCACGCGACGCGCGCGCGCGCACACACACACACATGCACGCACGAGTATAAATATATAATTATAAGTGAAACTGTTTTAAGTAAAAGTTTAACGAATTATATTCGTAATCAGCAAAATCAATTTTATTTTAATAATATGATTGCCTGTAAACTATGGTTATTATTTTTATTATATAGCTAGAAATGTTAATTACGGTTTTTATATATATGATATTATATTAGTTATCTGTATACCACGCATAAAAAGATACTACTAGTGTAATAAATAAAATTCGAATAGAGTGTAATATAAATTAGCTTAAGGAAACATCTACGTCAGGTGACAGATTTACGAGTTGAAAAAATGTAAGTTTTTAACTTTTTTCACGATTTTAGTAT